AGCAACCTTGATTTAATCATCAATAATTCTGCATTTCTTATATTCTTGCTTTGTAATAAAGTCAGATTGAATATTATAAAAATGAGGTATAGTTTAATCAGAATTTTCTGTCTTGTCCCCTTAGGGAAAATTAACGCAATCAGAAACGAATCAGGAATCATTGTGCCTAGCTGTACTTCATCAAATATACATTTTACGTTCATACTAATTTTAGGTAAGATTTCCTAGTCAGGAATCATTCCCTGAAATCGAAAACAGCCCGTGTATCAATCAATCCTTTTGGCAATGATAAACTATCAGGGAATTTCAATGAAACTTGCAGACGAAGTAAAATAATCTAACGAAAGTGCAGTTGTATCAAGACTTAAGGAGGATCAGGGACACAGAAGAAACGGAGCAAGAGTAAGAGGATAATGAAAATCCGCGTGCATTCTCGGATGCACCGGTTTCCAGAGTTCGGTCACTGATTGGCACCGCGACGGGAAATGGCGTTACGCGGGCGCGCTCGCGCTCTGACACGTCATAGTGCCGCGTGCACACGTGCACACGGGCCGATGTACATAGTTTCAACTTGGATACGTGGTGTGGCACCCACACAACGAAAGACGGTTTGGCAACACGGCCGGTGCAAGGCCCGTAACAGCCTGTTGGCCAACATCAAGCGACTTGCACCGAGCGCATGCGCGTGTACGCCTTCGCCTTCTCGTGACACTTTAAATAAACCATGGTGGGGTGGCAAAAGGGGGGGCAGGCACAAAAATGATAAACCGCTACAAAAATCCCACGATAGACGCGAGCGCAGTACGCGCGCGCGCGCGCGCGAGCGCTCGTTCGCCCCGCGACCCGCCGATTGCTGCGCACACACGGAGAACGCCGCCGCACGGTGGCATAGAATCAACCTTCTGTGTGTTGACCGGAATTCAATGACGATGCATGGACGCCCGATACGCATACACGGGGTTCACAGGCCTCGCGAAATGGACTTTCCGAACCGTTTCAACGGCGAACGGGCAGGAGATAAAAAAAAAAATTGCTGGAATACGATTGATTTTTTCAACCCTCTATGCTGACCAGATGCAGTCCCAAGTGCAATCCACGAGACTTCAAGAGTTTCTAATTCTTAAATGTTACTTTATGTATATATTCATTTAAATAGTCTTAATATATTCAAAATTGTTCTTCGCAACAAAGTGTAACATAAATAAAATAACATATATAGTAATGTAAAATTATTATATTTAGAATTATTGTAAATATTTCTGCTGATCTATAACTGATCTGCACTGCAAAGCATCAACTGTGACTGGACATTTAAGAATATTTGCAAGCTGAAAGCCTTTTCATGTATTTTCCAAGTGTGCAGCTCAATAATTCATATTCTAATTGAATTTAACTAGTAACTATTTTGATCACAATTTATTACTTTGAAATAAACATATACATTTTCTAGGCTATTCAGGCAAGGAATACTGCACACATATTTTTCTAATTTCAATATTGATCTACTTATCTATCTAATCTATTGATCTTATTAAATCCTTTTTAATAAAGGTCGTAATAACTGCACGTGCAATGGTTTATACGTTCTCATTAATGAGACGGGCTGTTCAATTTTTGAGAAAAGTAGTATAGGTCAACGTATCAGGGAAACGTCTCAAGCAGTAGAGGGTTAAAGGCTCATCGTATATACTGTACGCGTGTCAGGATTCGCCAGGTTTCACCGGGTTTCTTCTGCCACGTTCGGGTCAGACACGAGCCGAGCAAGAGATGCTTGTACTTACATGTGTACTGGGCGCGGCGAGAGTCCTGTCGCGACGATCCGGACGCGCTGGTCGGATGCTGCTGAAACAAACGAGAGCATGTCGTCAAATTTCATTGCAAACCTTGACAATTTCGTAACCATTGTTAGAAATTGAAATAACTAGTCGAAGGAAACGAATTATGTAATATGAATTAAAAACTCTATTCTGAATATTGATTCAAAATTATAGAGAAACTAACAAGATTCATTGCATTTATTAATTACGGTAGACAAATATTGATACTAATTCCATACTTAATTAATTAGATTTCGATTTGATGAGAATTACAAAAGTTTTATGATAATTCGAATACGAAGTCTGTTTTATTGATTTCGCTACGTCCTACTTATCAGACGCCTTATCTCTTTATCTGTTACGTGAAACAGAAAGCGAGTTTGCTGATCGATATCTGGCTGGATTCTCGGATATCTATTCCTCCAAAGAATCACTTGTCGCCTATCCACGTTAATTACGAAAAGAACGTAAAGCGTATGCAAAAGCTTCCAATCGACCCAAGCAGCTGTTGATAAAACTGACTGTACTATTCGATCCACCGTTCGCTCTGTCATTTTTATTGTCTAACACGAACGGATCTTCGTAATCCACAGACTGATTTTAGGAAAGTCTGTAATAACCGATGGATTAACTCGGGTCTTATCCTCGTTACTCTCCACGTACCATCTCCTCCCTGATTTTAATCGATAAGCCGATCGTGGTTAACCGTGAACGACACCGTCGAAATCGTTCGAATCCGTGCCAGCTTTCAGTCGGTTCGCTTTATTCTGACGCTTCGTTTCAGCTGGCCTACATAGAGAACGGGGCCCGTGTTCCTTGCCTTGCTGCGCGCCCGTTTCTCTATCCTTTTACCAAACGGAACAAAACGGCGAAAAGAGCGGTAGCGGCGGCGGCGGCTGTCGAACAAAAGCCGCGCCGCTGCTTTCTTCCTGTGCTCTCGCGTAAGGAAGAATAAAGACGAATGCGTCTAACGCTCACCTATACGCGGATAACTGTTCTAACGAATATGGAGCAATTAAGGACATGCATCCTGTGTTACGGTACAGTTCTTATTTCCTTATACTCGATCTTGTTCATTTTACTTCATTTTATACTGATTCATATACAACTTCGGATAATCAATGACGTTTTTTACAAGATGCGAAAATAATAATAAATGTCTTTCAATCACGTTTAATTAAATATTAACAGACTTTCTATAATTGTCCAGGAATCAGTTGAATCCATTAATATCGTTCTATATTTTAATTAAAATTTTTAAATAAAGTATAAGCATACACATACACATTTTCAAATTAAGAAAGAAGTGGAAATTGGATTCTTCCAAGGCTACTATGTATAGAACAAAAACATGAGTAAAAAAATAATAAGAAAGTGATCAAACACGTGACATTTTTATTTATATTCTGTACACGTTTTCAATTCTTATTTATATTCAATTAAAAAAATTACATGAGTAATTATTTTTTAATACGTATGCTGAAATTGTTTCGATGAAATCATGTAAAAATCAAGCCAGATCAAGCATTGAAGAAACCAGGATTTGTTAATATCTTCGGGTCTCGTCGCTCTAGGGAAAATTAATAACAGAGGTCGAGCAGTGATTGTCCCAAACTGTACATTGTAGAGTTAATATTGCATATAACCAATAAATTGAGGCATGTTTGTGGACAAGCATTAAATACTGCCTAATCACGATATAATATTATATAATAATAGTTCCAGAACACGTTCTAAATTCAGAAAATTGTTCCTCACTGACAAACCGTTGAATGGAATATGGCTGAATATTGAATAAGCTCATTCCGATCGTCGCAAGAGTTCTAAAAAAAACCTCGGCTTGCTTTGATTGGCAAAGCGCGGGTGGAATCGACGATCGGATTATCGGGCGATTAGCCTCTTAAGAGACTCGCTGCTGCCACCCCACACGACCGAATCCGAATCGCGTCCCGGTAATATATTAAAGGCAGATGAACCGAAGCGGCGGCTATTTTCGGCCGCGAAACGTTTAATTTAGCGTCTAAGCACGCAGGCGATATATCGTCCGGCGCGCTAACAAGTCTAACCCTTTCAGTGTCGCAATTACGCGCCGAGATTAATAGCGACGTTTCTATTTAGCTTACGGGGAGAGATGTGCCCGCGGTGCGATGAATTATTTTCGCCCCGCGCGTGAACTGGAACTGGAGCGACCAGACGCGGGCACGTCGATCGCGAAAACTTCACGCCACGGCGGCGGTGTATCGATCATCTTATTGCGTCGGATCTTTTCGTGAATCCGTCCGACTCGATCATAAATAAAGCGTCGAGATCGTACGAGACCGGACAGTGGCGGTGTTCCTAATAGTTTCTAAACGTATTAGATAATGAGACTACGATAATGATAGTGATTTAAATAAATCGCGAAAATGGATATAGTTATTGCACAATTTTTCGTGAAGCATTTCGCCTGACCGAAGGGCTCGCCCGAGCACGCATTTACCATTCTATCTAAGTAAGCTGGAGGCCACTCCTTCCCCGTAGATTGTTTCGTGGAAATTTAGTGATTGGCAGGTTAGGGACCGTTACGGAGCTGAAACGTTCCACTTTGCATACGGAGAAGAAATCGTTTACGAGCCACTACTTATTTTATCGCGCTGGCAATAGTTCTGTTCACATTGTACTCGGCGATCGTTATGCCTTCTAATTATATTCAGTCGACCAGCGATACTCGACCCGAACGACCGAGTTACCGAGCTCTCTTTCGAGCATTGTCCCACAATTAGCATCCTGTTTGTTGACGCTGATCGAACGTGCCCGCTCCATGGAAAGAGACGCCTGGCCCCCCTGACGTTCGCCGATCCGTCAGCGAGGACGAATTGTTGAAACGCCGCCAAGAAGGAAGCGTTTTGCAAAATCCGTCTGAGAGTTATTCCCGAGGAGAACACTCCAGGGACCAGGAAGACGAAAGTAAGCCGCTCTTAATGGGAATGTAACGAAGTGAGTCGTCGAGGCTCGCGGTACGCCAGGGATAGAAGGCGCCGCGCCATGATCGAACGGGATGATAGATCGTTTCTAGAAAGTACATACGTACGTACACAGATACGTAGATACGTACATACATACACGCATAACGCAATCGTATCAAATCTATGAAAGTCCACCTACAGGCTGTGTACACTCTGTACGATTCGAACGTTTCACCTCAAGCAGTGAAACCCGAGACGCTGTCCTTTCGAGCTGCATTTATTATGCGCCGTGATTAAACGTGAACTAGATACACGCCTCGCGGCTAAACCACGCGTCCTTTCATATTTTTTTACCAACATTAATTAACCCGTTGATAATCAACGCTCGAGCAATTTTATCGTTTTGTGAAAATTATTTTTTATATTATTTATTGTTCCTAGTAAGATTGTTGGTATATCTCTATGTGTGGAATTAAAGACACTCGCGATGTAGCTGCGACCGCGAGCGGTCGGGAGGGAATGTCAATAACGAAATCGTGGCAGCGGCGGTTTACGTCAGCGGGAGAAACGAGTATATGATTTCGGTGATCCGTCATCTGAGAAACAGGTGCATTCCTGATAAACTTGTATCCGCGGAATTCGTGTCGCGCAATTGGAACGGAAACGAGTGGGTGGATATTAATCGATGGACATCGGTTTGTTCGTATTATCGCCACGCACCCCTGCTAGCAGAAGTTTACGCCGCCAATAATAATAATAATAATCAACCTATTACCTCACAGTCTTATGTAAAATTTCTTCAATAAAATCGTGAAATAATATAAAAATAATCGTGTGTCCGAGTAAATCGCGAATGGATTTGACCAATTTTGGTCGCGCTTTCTCCAGTCCAGTAAAAAAAGCAGGACGAGATCGCGAGAGATTAACAGCACGAAGAAAGTAATTGTGCATCGAATAACGATCTGTGATTAAAGTTTCGAATGAAAATGATTTCATTTCCATTTATTATCCCAAAGAGGGATTCCATGAATCCTAGAACTCCGGCAGCCGCGTTCAACGTCCACTGCCGCGGTGCATATTGCAGCGAGTGTTGATACAACTGGACGTGTCAACAATTTGCGCCACCGTGCAAACTAGTGGATGATTTAAACGGGGTGGGTCGGGTTTAAACAACAACAACAACAGCTGCGCTCTCGCGGCGATTCATGGCGCGCGTCGACTCGCGGGGTCGCGTGTGCGCAATGAAAAAACTTCTCTATTACCTGGCCGGTTCGCTGTTCGGACCGTCCTCTGATACATTAATGACGCGTCAAGTCAGCGTATGACAGGCCTCGTGGCCACCCTCTGCCGCAGCTGAGGTCCATCCTCGCGATCCTCGGTTCTCCTCTCCGTTCCACCCCCGCGCGAACCCCACGCCGCCTCTGTCCCGCTCGGAGTTCACCCGGTCACACCCTCTCGCTCGCGCCCTTCTCTCTCTCTCTGTCTCGCGCGCCGTCTATCTCGCCCCTCTGTGCGAACTCTCTGCCACTGGCCCGAGCTCTGTGAGGAGATCAATAGGGATCCTACACCCCGTTCCTCCGCCGACATGTCGGAGGAGGACAAAGGTACTCAGCTCCGATGTTCCGACGCTTCCTCTTCACGCACGTGCCTCTGTGTCCGAGCCGCGTTTACGCACCGCTCACAGTTTCACAGAAGTGGTGAAAAGACGCGAGCCGGAGTGCACGAGGGTGACACCGGGAGGGATGCGAGACGAGGAACGTCGGCAACTTTAAACTGGGTTCTTTAATACAATCCTATACTCTAAGAGATTTTATGAATTCTATAATAAAATCAAAGTGGAAATAGTCGAAATATTCGTTGTTTTAGTAATCATGATATTTGATTAAGAAAATTATAATCGAAGTATTTAGGGAAATTTTACTAAAACTTGTAAACAGATTAGAAAACGTGTAGTTTATAATTTGAACCGCGTTACCGATAAGTTTCCTCAGTTTGGCTTGGTATAACGCTATAACAATGTTCACTTCCTGAGAGTTTAAACAGTGGAGAAAACAGAGATCTACAACTTTCTAAATATCGT